ATCCGGAGCGAAACGGGAAGTGGAAAGACGCTGGCCTACGCCTTGCCTACGGTCCATCAGATTTTGTGCGATTGCGAGAGCGCGCCGATCCGGCGGGATATCGGCACAATCGTGATCGTGATGTGCCCCACCCGGGAGTTGGTGATTCAGGTCGAGCAGACCCTGACGACACTTCTGAAGTTCGCGCAATTCCTGACGGTCGGGGCTATCCACGGTGGGGAGAATCGCCATAAAGAAAAGTCCCGACTTCGAAAGGGCGTCCCGCTGCTGATCACAACCCCTGGTCGGTTGTTGGATCACCTCAAGACGACCGTCTCGTTTAACGTTTCGAATGCGCGAAGCCTCATCATGGATGAGGCGGATCGGCTGTTGGATTTGGGCTTTGAAAAGACCATCCGCGAGATCATCGAACTTTTGGGGACGCGATGTGCCGATATGACGAGCTTGAAGCGGGTCCTCGTCTCCGCCACGATCACGGAGGGGGTGGAGCGGCTGTCACACTTCGCGCTTCGCCCTCGGATCACGCGCATTGGGGAGACACAGGACACCTTCACGATCCCGGCGACGCTTCGGCAGCATGTGATGGTGGTCCCCACCAAACACCGCCTGGCCGTTTTGATCAGCTTTTTGCGAGCGCAGCTGGATGCGGGGGCGAACAAGATTGTCGTCTTCGTTTCGACTGCGGATAGCACGGAATTTTTGTACTACCTGCTCTCACGCTTGGAGTCTCCGTTTATCCGGCGAGGCCACGAAGGCAAGGTGGAGATACGTAAGAGTCACTCAAAGAACTACAAGAAGATTTTGGAAGCGGGGAATCAGCATTTACATGATCCGAGCGAGGAGGTTATCACTTTTGACGAAGACAGCGATAACGACTCGCAAGGGCCTGGGATAGATATGAAGATGTCGCTTCGCGCGATGCTCGACGTGAACGTCTTTAAATTACATGGGAACATGTCGCAGGTGGATCGCGCTTCGGTCTTTCACGCCTTTAAATTCGGCAATGCCGACAAGAAAAGCCAAAAAGGTGTGCTTTTCTGCACTGATGTCGCCGCCCGTGGGCTTGATATGCCTCTTATTGACTGGATCGTTCACTACGACCCCCCGACAGATCCCACTGGCTACGTCCACCGGATCGGGCGAACCGCCCGAATTGGGAAAAGCGGCAACTCAATTCTCTTTTTGGCACCTCATGAGGAAGGCTATGCACGCTATCTTTCCAATTTTATCGGCAGTGGTGGGCAGGAGGGGGCGCATGTCGGTCCTGAGGACGATAAGCCTCAGCTTATGAGCGAGAAGAAACACGAAACTTACCTGTTTTATCTTACAAAGCTGGATCCCGGATCGAATCACATGTGGATGTACTCTACGGCGAAGTTAGAGAGAGCAATAACGCATCTCGTGATGCATCAGTCGTCCAACGAAGGCGCAAGCCGTGCGGAGAGGACAGAAAACTTATCCCGCCTTGCGTTTTTTGCGTATCAGTCATATGTCCGTTCCTACGCTGGCATACCTAAAGACCTCAAACATCAGTTTTTTTCCTCCTCTGATCTTCATTTAGGCCATTTAGCGCAAAGCTTCGGGATCGAAAAGAGTCCGACGGAAGTTCAGCAGCAGCTGCAGAGATATGTTCGTGAGGATCGCGCCTTGGGGCGGAGAGCTCAAAAGCGTATTGCACCAAGCGGAGGTGACAATGGTGAAGGAGGACAGGGAAAGGCAAAACGTGAACGCATCAAATTGGATCACGAGGGTCGTTACCACAGTATGCTTGCCCAGAAACAGCGTAAGACAACACGCGATTATGAGGAGAAACGGCGCGCAGAAGCACCTCGAATCCGGCCTTTACAATTTACGGAATTTGATGCTTAACGCATTTCTTTTTTCGATTTGACGTTTAAATATAAAATTAAATTATAAAACAAAAATCCAAGACAGGTTGAACTACAGGACAGTTCACTCAATAGAGCAACACCACTGGAGTTTGTTGCTCTTTTTTTTGCTTTTCTATTTTATAGTAAGCTTGTAGTTTATGTCTCATACATAAGAGCCTATATTATGTGTTTAAGCTTGAAATTGTCTATTTGTTTTTCCCCTTTATGCACTTATATCTCTTCTTTATCATAACGGATATCCCATTTAGGCGTTTTGGTTTTTTTATATGCGATCGTTCAGATGGCTACGCTACCTATCTAAACGGCCTCAAAAAGTAGAGGAATTTAGCAAGGCCATTAGAAAAGAGAGTGCAGAGAGTGTGCTGAGAAAGTTCATGATACCTAGTGTGCAATCGGATGAACTCGTCACGCTGTCGGAGGAACTCCTCCCTCACATCACCAACCATGCCTACAGTATTATTCAACAACATCACATTCTTCTAATCTTTTCATCACGCTCGATTCGATATGAGCCCACTCTATTGAAGTGTATTTGGAATATTCTCAAGACAGATGTGCCGCAAATTTTGAATTCTAGTACCCACGACGGCTTGAATCTCAGAATCACACCAAGTGGATTAGCATTCTGCACGGCTTCAACATTCAGCATTCTTTCCCGTATGCGACTGATTAACGATCAGCAAATGCTCGCCTTAGCCTTTGGGCGTTGTATTGAACTGAGCTCGATAATGTCATTGAGCGCTGTGTCGAAGACCTACGAAGCATTAGGCTTACTTAACAGGGAATATTTCAGTCTCACCGATGCGTATTTTTATAAATCTGATATGGATAGCATTTCGTCCAGGAATGAAGTTTTTGATGAGGCTCAACTTTCTGATATCGCTAATCAGCCCAACATGGTGGATATCCTGTGTGGGGAGCTTGAAGCACGCCTAGCGGAACTTTCCTCTCTAGGTAATAGGCTGTTTACCACCAACGAAGGGGATAAAATGGCCGAAATCCCATGGGAGTTGTCTAGTGATTGGCCAACGACCTCATTGACGGTGTCGACGCTTGATGCATCTGGACCTCATGCTGGGGCTGGGAATTGCGGCGAATATGCGATTAATGGCGACTTATTTTCATGTTTGATTATCATGCGTGCGTTACCAGTCCTTGGCGCGATGTCTCCTGATATTTTCAGTAGTCTTCGAAACGTGATTGCGTCATGTATGAAGGGCGAAGGGATTGCGCCGAGTGTGGAGTTTCTTGTTCAGGCTCTAAAGGAGGTCTCCCGAGTTCACCAGCGTGTGGTAGATCCTTTAAATCATGAGGATAATCATGAGTTTCCAGAGGCACGTGCTGAAATGATCCGTTTCTTAGCATCGAGTTTACTTAGTCGGAAGGATCTGGTGTTGACGTTACGACGTAATCCTCAGCTTAATTTAGACATGCGAAAGTTGTTTGAGGAAAGTCAAACGTTAGTTGAATGTGCTTTTCACTTGTGGGACCGAATACGATGTATTCGCATAGCGCACAAACACGTCACTTCAAAAAAAAAGATTCAACTTCCTGAATGTCAATTTATGAAAGGTCGTAATACAAAGTTGAAGAGAATCACGCCAGATCCCTCCGAGGCTGAGCGTTTTATACCACCTCAGTTCAAGACGTGGAGAAGCCCTGAGCACTCGCCACGTCGAAATCGCTCCAGTTCTCCAGGTGCCCTGAAAGTGATTCCATTTGGAAGACGTCGCATATCGAAGAATTACATCAAGGAAAAGCAGAGAAAGTACTGCCCGTTTTGATGCATGAATACGCTGAGCTATATTAGCTTAAAACTGATAAAATAGGTCGGTGTCTATTTAGGGTTTTGTGTAAGTAATCGTCTTTGTTTAGCAACGTTTACTTGTACAATATTTCTCTGAAACAACGATAGGTACATGCATAAAAAGAAAAATCGATGTGTTAAATTAAAACTCAGCCTCATGGGTGCTTCCTCAATTTATAACTTTACCTTTATTTTTCTCTTCATAGAAAAGAGTTTATGACTTGAGCGATGAAAGACTGCTCTATTCGTAGCAAACGCACTCAAGCCAAGTCCCAAGGGAAAAAGCCCTTTGCTATAGCAGGACGATTGCCGCCCATTGATAAGTTCACAGAAAGTAGCGCCCTATCAAGCGCCGATCCATCCATTTCGAGGGCTTTAGTTTGCCTTCCCAAGGTAGATGATATCCATGCCTTTCAGTCGCTAATAGTACCTTTTCAGGTAAAAGAAGGCGACTGCGGCGCGGCCAACAAAGTGAGCTTATGGCCCTTTCGTGGGAAGCGCGGCGTTCTTCGAAAAGATGCTCAAGATTGCCCTCGAAGTAGCTCCAAAGCCCCTTTATCTTTGCAACTCGAAGCTTTCATCCGGAAGGAGCACCGCCAGTACTTGATAGATCATCCCGATTGTAGCCGTCTCAACACCTTGCACATTTTTAGAGAAGGTCTCTCAGCCTTTGTGGAGCATTTTAAAGAGTACAAACCTGTTCTTAGCCTCATTCGAGAGGAGTATGACCTCACCATTAAAGAGGTCACCGATCAGATGACGCGAATGGGGGTGGAAAATTTAGAAAACAAAAGCGATCGCAGCGTTCACGCGATGGAGCTGATTCAGCTAAAGGAAAGCCTCAACGCGACCATTCGCAATCAGGAAGCACAGCTGCGGGCCACGCTGGGGATGGTGCACAGTTTACGAGATCAGTTATCGGCTTCCGAAAAGCACAATGCGCAGCTCAAGCTAGAAATGGAGCAGAAATTAAAAGGGTTTGAGGAGGCCCAGGGCAAGATTACGATGTTTTCCAAGTCGTTAATTGACGAAAACTCCCGCACCGCCGAGGCGATCAAGGCCTCCACGAAAAAAGATAGCGAAATTAAACTCCTAAACTCCCGCATCAAAGTCCTCGCGGAGGAGGTGAATGATCTAAAGGATTGCCTGGGTAAACAGACCCGGGCGCGGATGGGAATCTACGGATCCCTCACCCGATCTCACATCACCTCCCAGGAGGATAATGAGGTGTCGTCGAGTCTGGGTAATTCCCCTATCAGCACGGAGGCCAACTACACGTCGGAATACGTCCATCGCCTGATCACCCGCATTGATGGGCTGGAGGGCGAACTTGCGATAGTGCGCAATAACAGCACTAACAGCACTGGCCTGAGCCTCGGTAAACCGGTTGGAAGTGGAGTCGTTCCCGAGACGCCCAACTTTCCCGCGGATTCGCCGGAAGCGATAGGGCGATCCCACTCGTGTCTTGTCGTGAAGGATGATTTTCCCATAATACGAGAATGGTTTCGCTTGGAAGGGATCGGCGAAGCGGAGTTGGAGTCTTCGGATACTTTGCTTCCTCCAGGGCTCTGTCAGTCTGAAGAACTTGCTTTTCTCAAAGCATGTGCTCCCGTTAAGAATAGACGCTTTCGACAGGATGTTATTTTGAAACTGATCGAGGATTTATGGGATTCTCGTGAGCGTCAGTTGAACTACTCAAAGTTCCAAAATTTCTTTATTGAGTGGCTCACAGCGAAGAGTGGATGCTCGTCAGGAATGAAGGAGCTAGGGGTTAATTTCTTGCAGGGTTGCCAACGGAATTCTCACCACCCGGACTGCCGCGTCTTGCTGCAGATTCTGCGAGGCTTCTTGCCGGAGGAACTTGTTCGCTCTTGTCGTCAGCAGCTTCGCATGTTATTTGAAACGTGCAGAGATTCCACCGAGCTACTGAATGGAGAGATACCTATTAGTGTAGTGAGCGATATAATTCGAAGCATATGGCCGGAGAAGTATCACGCTCATATGCTTCAGCTTCGCTTTTATGCCTATCGACATACCAGCCAACCTGACAAGGTTAATATTGACGATTTGTTTTCCTCGAATTCTTACTTTGTTACCATGCTGAAAAGTCAGTATTTTCGTGAAGTGGAGGAATTCACTTTATCTGTTGTAGAGAAAGTGCGGATGAGTTCCATTGAGGATAATGGGATGATTTCGGTTGCTATAGTAATTGAAATAATTAAGAAGTTAGATGATGGACTGACAGGTGAGATTATTTCTAGACTTTTGTCAAATGCTTTCAAGAAAACAATAGTGGATATTCTTTCATCAGATGTTCCTATTCGTGTAGATGATATTCTTCACCACTTTAGGAGTAGCATTCTTCTTCGTCGTGTAACACCACCCGACTGATTCACCTGCCTTTACAATCTAAGGGAAGGATATTGAATCATTTTTTTCTTTATTTAAATCCACAAACAAGGATCACGAGTAACGATATACCTAGACCGAAAATCCTTTTTATTTTTAATACATATTTCCTCTTTTCAATATTTATGTACATTTACTCCCTCAGAATGGGCTATATATATATATATATATATAT